ACTGTCAAAATGCAGATCCAGAACCTTTGTCGAACATCTCTGACCGCCTTGATTCCATTGTATCTCGGCGAAATTCTCAGGGAGAAGTGGAAGCTGTATATGAGAGAAGATTACCATGTATGGGTAACTGTTCTGATCCAACTTAAGCAATATAGAGCTTCAACTCAGTTTTCTTCTATCAGCAACTTCGAGCCGAGATGATGTCCTACGACCACAGCCAATACTTCGACATCCAACATCGTTCGAGGAGCCTATCTACGTGAAGCCAGCTATCCGTTAGTTCTACAAACCACTCGGATTCTTTTTTTAGGATAGTATTTGCAGGGTCTTTGAGATCAAATCGGATCAATGCTTCTCAACCAAAGCCTCGCATGGGCCTAAGACGTAACGGCCGCGACAACCGCTACCGACGCACAGACTCTATGGGTGAAAATGTGAGATATGGAAGGACCGAGGTTATCAGTCAGTACAGAAGAGCTGATTCACTGGATTCTGGAAGTTTACGGATACAAAGGTGAGTCAAAGCCGCAAAGTAAAAAAGCGTCTCCTTTTCTTTTTAAAATATAAAATCTAGGCAGCGCCCACCGTCACGATGGTCTTTTTATCCCGAAAGGTACCCGCACTATGGAAGGTTCCAAGGTGACGAAGCTCCAAGGGAAGAGTGGGCAGAAGAACCCCGACCAACCTTTCTTCGAAGAACGCCGCAATTTTATGACAAATGTGACTTGTGCGCATTCAAAATTATGCGAATGGGAGACCACTGCCCTGTAAGCGAACTGATATTTTCGCCTCAACTCTAATCTAATATTTTGTCGCGACGAGTCGAACTTACATAACAGGCATGTGGTCGAACTGCAACAGCTATGAGACAAGAACCCCCAACTATCGAAAATGACGAATCCTATCGGAAAGAAGAGGTCTTAAACGCCAAGAATCTTAGCGGGTTTCTCCGAAACGAAATGATGTACAGACCACCGTCGAAGATGTATTCTACAGGTGGTGTTACGCATAAAGTCATCATTTTTCGTCTGCAACTATTCTCTTCAGAGTTTCGAAAATTCTACCAAGTCGGTCATCGAACCCAACCACGGCGAAAAGCAAGAAGCCCCGTATTTCGATATGGTAATCACTAGTCTATTTACTATTAAAAATATTACCACGCTTTGCAAAACCCTCATAAATTTCGTACCCACAAACAACTTTTGACTTCATTTATTCCTTCTCTTCAGTAGCGCGCACCTGCACTCTTTTGAACTATTCCCATGTAATCCGCCAAAAAAACAGCTATTCAAGCAGACAAACAGGTATAAATGCGCATTGAGTGACGTGAGAATGTACTTGCACTGGCAAAAGGAGGTGCAATGGAAAGCATTTCTTGAAGGAGAGGGATTGAGATGTTTCTCAGATCTAAGCCATATGCATAATATGCAGTAGTAAACTATTTTTGAAATCAAAGGCAAACATTTTTAGAGGTACTCTGCCTATGATGATAACAGCTGCTTTTACTAGCGCAGTGAATGGCTTATTAGACACTTTGAAATCCTCGAATTCTACTTGAAAAGGCTGTAAAGCTCAGCAACTAAGTCTGAACCGGATAGCCTTTGTAATCTGCTGCAAGAGTTCCTACTGTTTTCTCGTATTTCAGGATCAACAATTCCCGAAGCAATGTACGACTATAGTCTTTGGGCAAAACGCCAAGACCGCCAAGCGCTTACAATGCATGCAGCAATACTTGCACTTGTCCTCTTCTCAACAGCATTTGTTGTTTCAGCCGGTGTCATACTTTTAGTTACAGTAACTTGAACTCAGCCCTACTATTTCTACGTCACCTCAACCGATTATAATATCTAACAGGCGCTCAATCCTGATTTCTTTCATGTGTATTTCTTCGCTCATGCTTGATTTTACACAGCCACATGATTTGTATATACCGACTCCATGTCTTAAACGCCAACCACGACCTCATTAACCAGTTACTTTCAAATTTGATAATGATTCGCCTCTTCTTTACTGTTGATAACTCTCAACCGCTGAAAGCATTTCTCCAATGTTTACTAACAATAAAACAAAGATAAATGAACTAGAACCAATCACTTTCATCATTGTTTGCAATGGAAAAAAAACACCTTCTGGCACACTAAGCACATTGCTAGCTATTACCTAATTCACAGCCATTTAGTCTCCAAAAACATTTCAAAAAAACACTCCATCCTATTTACATCACTAGAATCATTAATGAGTAGCCGAAAGATCTGGTATCGAAAAAAATTTACGTCATTTGAACAATGAAACAGATGAATTAGTGCGAGGCGATAATATTACAGCATAATTCATGATAAATTTGAGGAACTACGACAAATCATCAAACCCGATGCTAAACATTTGACCGATAATCGACACCACAAAACAAAATATAGATACCACATGCATGATTCGAAGGCAGTATCTAGATGTTTACGCTCAGTTCAACCAAAACAAATGTGGAGTCGATCAAAAAAGGATGAAACTATAGGAAGAAGAAACGCCACTTTAAAAATACATGCAAAGTTACCATATGTGGATCTGAGGACTCGAAAAAAGTGCGTTTCTTCATAGTGATAGTTTCTCAAAAGTAGCAATGGTTGTTTTGAGCTCTTTACACTGCAGAAAAGTATAAGTCAACCGTAATCTTTTTGAATTATCGAACTGTCAACA